CAAGAGAAGTTCCAATTGGCATTGCCATTTCACAGAAAATACTGAAAACTAAACTTTATCCAGCAATTGCAAGCATATCGTTTCTTGTTTTCCCTTTGTTGGTGTATTAGTGATGTTAGCTGTGATTCTTAAAGTTTTACATTAGCACATTTGAAAACTGAAGTGGTGTACAAGCCAAAAAAATCACATGTAAAAAGGCAAATTACATTTTTTTAAGAGTTGCACTTTGATTGTTGTAGTCAGAAGGGTAGCTTCCATTCTCAGATTTTTGCCTTAATTTCTGCGTATGGCTATTGTACAAAATAACAACAGTTTCGCCTTCATTTCGTCTTCCATCAGGCAACAACTGATGCACTAGGAAGGGCACCGTTCCCTCCCTCACATACCCACATCCTGTAACAAGGAGAAAGGGTAAGCCTTTAGCAGACCATGGTTAGACAGAAACTTCCTCTTGGATCTGGGCGTTCCAGATTTATCTGCAGTCGAGCTTCTTTCGTTTTCCTAAAAACACTCAGTATTGCTCATACATGGAAACACTACATAAGCCTAGAAATAACATTTGTCTCAGCATACCTTGGCATTTCTTCTGGACCTGAAAGCACAAAGAAAATCCATCTGTTACTATCTGTCATCTTCCAACTATTTTCAAAGCTCTGGGCACCTCTGCGTGGACCATTGTTATTCCTAATTGCAGAGTGAAAGCAAGAAAGATGGAAATGGTTGAAAGAACTTCAGATCACATCAAATATATGTGGATTATGTGGATTTATGTGGATAAACTAATCTTAAACTGACTTTTAAACTATTTTTAAGCACAACCAGTCCCACAGAATTCACTGAGAACCTTAGTACTTTTAAATGATCAATACTAAACACCTGCTCAAGAGCTTTGATGTAGCAGTGCTTCAGTGGCCACCTCATCTACCATGTTGTGTGAGAAAGCCTACTTCCCGTCCATGTCCGTCAGTCATGCAGAACAGGCAGTGCAGCACAGCTCAGGCATTGATCCCCTGCAGGAAGGCTGAGGGATGAAGGGGGACCGAGGCTTGAGAGACTCTAATATTCCTCAACTTCCCACCTTTCTATGCCTCCCACGCTCTCTGGCACTGCCTAAAGCTGCGCACGTGTTTCTGGTCATGTGCCATTCACTTAGGAGTCACACAGCTATGCAGAACACCTTCTGTTCGGATCATGGCTACTTCCATCCCCATAGAAGAGTGTTTGATGTCATTCGACTCAGCAGGGGCTTTTCCAGATGATTTAAGGCATGGTATTAACAAGCTGTGAAAGTAGTTTCAGCTAGCCCTTTTTAGCTATGCGGGTGATAACTTCAAAGCACTGAAAACAGGAGTAGGCAGAGGGAAGAAAAATCTTCCAAGATTCTAACAGCACAGACAGGAATCCTCAGTATGGGAAAATATGACTTGTAATAACATTATAATGAATAACACCTCAATGTTATCATAGTATCTGTTGTGAAGCAAAGGACTCAGGCGCAAAGTCAAGTTCGTACACGGCAGCTGCAGTTACTGTGTATGCTCTTAGCCTGCAGCAAGAAGTCAAATGCATTAATTTAAGTCTCGCTGCAAATGATATAAGTGAATGTGTTTCTCCCACATTTGCAAAGGTATGGATTGTATTTACAGTTACCACAGCTCAACGGACGCATGATAGTGTGAGGAACCACAACTGAAAGTGTCTGATCTCTTAATCTATACTTCAGCAAATCTTCTGCACACACGGGAGCCTAAGTGATGCTCCTCAGTCTACTGTTAGATCATTTCCTAATTTTCTGAACCATCAAGTACCCAGCAGCTTATTGTAGCAGCTGTAGACCATCAGACCCAAGCCCTAGTAGAGATACTAATAATATTTTTCCCTTTTTTTTTTTAATTAGTCATGAATTATAGCTGTTAATTCACAATGTAGAATGTACCTTGCAAGTAATTAAAGTAACCATGGTCCTGGAAGCATACTTGGTGTGTACAATTGCCATATTGACAGGTTTTCATGCCATTTTAATCATAGCAGAACTTGGATGGATGTACAACACTGTGAGATGTCATGTTATAGGATACGGGCAATTATTGTCTCCCTTTAGGACACTGTATACCAGACCCTAATACTGCTTAGATTCATTATTGCTAGTGCTGTTATACAGGGTTTAAAGATGTCTTTACATGATTAAGTTCTCTGGCTTTTAAAGTATTGTTACTATAGCCAACTCTTTCAACACGCTGTAAGCTACAAGCACTTCATTCTTCTCCTGTTTAATATTAACCATAATATCATGTAATAAAATTGAAACAAAAGTGCCATAGGCCTAATTGTACTGTCACAGCCATGTAAATCAGAAATAGCTTCAGTAAAGCTACTGTTATTATGCTGGTGTAAAATTGATGTAAATTAGAAATGACTTGGATGTTGTAGCTCTGCCTTCAGATAACACAATGTAAAGGCCTCACTTAAACTCGCATATAATGGCTTATGAAGGAAATACTCTTTACCTCATCATATTATATGGTATTGTATCAAAAATGAACAAAATTTATAGGGGATGACATAATCAGATAGATCAACGTAAGTTAATGTTATGGGGGCCAGATTCTGAGCTGTATTGACTTCCATGAAGTTAATACATAGCTTTTGACTGCCGTCAGTATGTAACTTACCATCACTTCCATAAAACTGAATTGCTTAGCTGTTACACAATGTAAAATGACAAGTCAGACTTTAGGTAGATTTTTCGGTTTGGTTTGGTTTGGTTTGGTTTTTTTCTGATGTGATGTTAGGCTAATGAACAACATCAGAAAGGAAATGTGCCAGACGTGGTGGTTACATCAAGAACTATGTAGGAAACTAGTAATGAACTCTAGGAAAATAAATAAGGGCAAGTTCAGGAAATGTAAGTGAAAATGCAGCTCTGGTATAAATTGAATAATAAAATTCCTGGTCATATTTTGCCATAAATAGTGGTTTGGGAATTTGTCATTCACCTTATTTAAAATTCAGAAATATTAAAGGTACAGGGTTCTCTCATTATAGAAGTAATAGAATTCTAGCTATTACAGAGTTAGGGTAATTTAAATAGCTATAGAATGCATTATATCAATAAGTGGAACATCTGTATGAAATGTCCACCTGCTGATATACTACTCAATGTACTTTACAATGAAATGTACTTAATCATTTTAAGACGTCTTCTAATGAAGCCTTATCGGGATTAACATTTTGAACACAAATACTTTTAGGCATTAAAACTTCTGCTTTAAATGAGATTGCATTGTCTTGTTTACCCTTGTTGATTAATAAGCAATCTGTTAACTGTTAGAACGGCCCAATTGTGCCAGTGAAAGTAGATTAGTAATTCAGCTATGTTTGTGGGTTTAATCATCATTTCTCTTGAAGGCTTTGAACAAAAAAAAATCATTTGCACACTATCTGTAGGCAAAGAAAAGATATATATTTTTCGATGTTTTGCTTCAGACTTTCAGCTTAGGGTTATTGATCAAGCACACACTTCCTGCAGCAAAATACTCATTTGAGGTACAACATTTCTAAGTATAATTCCAATTTTAAAAGAAAAAGTGATACAAAAATCTGGAACTTGAATTCACTTTCTATAGAATGCTATTGTTTTGCTAATAAAATTCAGGAGGGCAGGTCCTGTTTTTTTATCAGTTAACGCTTGTGAACAGCTTTGAGAGATGTGGTGGCTTTTTTGTTTGCTTGTTGTGATTAACTGGAGGCTTAAAGGCAAATACCCTGTCTTCAAAAAAGATGATAGTTCAGATTTTCTCATGGGGTCATGCACTTTCATCTGTGGCATCCCACAGAGGGAAACAGATGTTGGCAAGTTACGATTTAAATTATCTGGAAAGCTCCCACGTGTGGAGCACAGTCCTGTTAAATTCAGGAGTAGCACAGGCCTGTGATAATAGTTGAATACTCGAACCATGCAATGCCATAAAAGTACAGCATCTCAGAGGCTGGGCTGAAGCAGTCATCCTCAGATGTGTTTGTGCCTTCTGTACCCCAGCTTCATAGCTATTATTAAAACCCATTATGAGTTAATAAAATCCTGATTTGATGTTGAATGACGGTAGAGTGTGATTGTGGATAAAACCACGCTCGAAAGCACTCTATGCCATTAACTGCTTCCGGGTGGTAGATCTCTCTTTAGTTTTGGCATGTAGGATGCATTATTTATACTGCTGTTCAATGAGATTCTCAGTGTAGTTACTTGGGTTTCTGGCGTAGAAACAACATATCCTGGCTCCCATCAATATTCAGCAATATTAAGGCTTAGCGATTGTCTCCCATCATGCAGTTCATGTCAGACTGCATTCTTGGTAGCACTGGAATTGGTATGATGAAATAAATGCAGTGAATTACTCATCTTTAAGACGGGTACAGTTATCACAGTATTCCTACATTTTCTTGAATATGGAACTACCGTGGAAATATTTCATGATAACCAAAAACATCTGTAAAGAATTTTATACTGAATTTTCTCTTTCCTTAAGGTTTCTCCTCTGACAGGGTACATATGACCCATAATTTCTATTGTTTTTTCTAAAAATATATATATTCTCATTGCATGACTACAATTTTCCCCCCCATTTTTTCCTGAAGAGTTTCTGAAGCTGATTACTGTCAGGATAACTCATTTCAGATGTATCCTAGTTGAATGAAGAAAAAAAAGGAAGAATAAACCAGTCTACACCATAAAACTTTCAACATTATTGAGACAGTTAGCTATGTATGGCATTTGTTCGAAGACGACTGAAAGTAGCTTTACTCTTTTGCGCTATTAAGATTAAGATTGCATTTATCTGAAAATAAAACACTAAGCTTTGACACTAAGTATGGGAATTTATGGAAGAGCTGAAAAAACTATTGTAAGACAGACATTGGGCACCATTTAATATCAGATAATAGTTAATGTTTTAATTTGCAAAGTATTCCACACTGACATCTGTTGTCTGTCTGTCCTGCAGTCTCTATGCTGTGAGATCAAACAGAGACGTCGTGGGGTAGCCTCTGTGCTGCGATTATGCCAGCACCTCCTGGATGACCAGGAGACCTGCAACCTAAATGCAGATCACCAGTCCATGCAGTTGATAATCGTAAACCTTGAGAGGAGGTGGGAAGCCATTGTCATGCAAGCTGTCCAGTGGCAAACAAGGCTACAGAAGAGATTGGAAAAAGACTCGGTGAGTGATGCTTGCTTTAAAAAGATCTCATATGGTTTCGTTCTTCATGAGACACTTTTTCAGTGCAAGGCAAACACATTCATCTCACAGTGTTTTCTTCTGACCAAAGATGCCCTTCCTAGTCTTTAGTGCCAACAAGTGAAGCTTCAGTTTTTCACAAAGCATTGTATTCTATGGACAAAACTGGTTAATAAGATAAACTCACAATATACGTGTTCTGTTTGCTGGATATTTAATCTCATCACATCTGATCCTGTCAAGTAATGAAAACAATCTTCTCCCATTGACAAGTTGCTCAGTACCTAACGGAACTGGGCCCAGAGACATATTTCACTGATTGTAAATATATTTCAGAAGAAGTATTTTCTATGTAAGTAAGACTGGTTTTAATTAGCATCCCAGCAGTAGATGTGTATTTCACATAGAATGCCATGGGTATGTGATTAATATACGATTCTGTGTTATTTGAATATAAGTAAAATGCATTAATTTGCTTTTATCTCAGGAAATGATTCCTAAGAGGCAAAATAGCACTTTGCTTAAACCATCCATTAAGTGGCATAAATTAGAAAGGTTTTCTACAGCATAAAACTATAATACAAAGCAGTATCTACATTTAAAAAATAAACCATAGGGGGAACAAAATAATCCCTACTGTAACACCATTGACTGTAATGGATGAATTGGCTCAGCATGTTTTGTGCTACTATCATAATGCTGCAGTCTGTATACTGCAGCTACATTGACAGCAACGATAACCCTGTGTAGTGCATATACTGAAGAGCCTTGAGAGCTGAGAACAAGTGACATATATTTAGCTTACATAATTTTTTAGGTTTATATCAAGCAAATAAAAGGAAAAAAACGCTTGACACTTACATGCGTCCTAACAATTATCTGACTAATAGTGAAATACTTCTTTTTACTTCTTATTGTTAAAGTTCCTTTACAAAAATAACAGAAGCTCTAATTCTCTTGCTCAGTTATGGTAGTGTAGTATGAAGATATACAAGACATTGTTCAGAAACACTGGCAGTTCCTGAGTGAAAATACTATTAGTCTAAACAGGCCAAGAAATGGTGAGTTAGTGAGGAGGATGCTGTGGACAAGTGAACTGTTGAAGGCAATAATAATCTGTTTGTGTGCCTACCTTTATCAAATGTTATAAAGTAGGAGTGCTCCTCTGCCTGTTTGGTTTATTGGCTGCTTTGCTTTAGGTATTGAGATAGAAATGGAACTTGAGAAAGGAACAAGGTTTGAATAGACTTTCAGGACAAGTCAAAAGGGGCATGTCTCTGTATGAGGCAACATAGAAGGAAGACATCATTGAAAAGTATATGGAGTGTGAATGTTGGTTTTATAAGCATGGGAGTAGTCAACTGACAATGTAAGAAGTGTAGGTAATTGAGGAGAGTCAATTAAGCCCGCAAAAATTTGATCTGGTTGGAAGAAGTGTAAAAATGATGAAGCTACATGTGATTGTAGAAGGATATAGAGAAACGAAAAGAATATTTTTCAGCCTTTCCTTATACATCTACGTGCAAAGAGGGAAGTATCAAATGAAGAGGAATGGTACTGGAAACAACCAAGGAGATCAACTAAGACCTTTCACTGTATCACCAGCAGAAAAAGGTCAAATCTTAATGATGCTAACTTTCCTCTCATAGAGCTAGTGAGAGCTGTAGATGTCACAGCTGACGCAGATTACCAGAGGGAGAACAGTCATACTGACAGAGCATGAAGAAAAGAGGAGATCTGGGGAGGACAGAGCAAGAGTTCCATTTTGTCTGTGCTTAGTTTATGTTAATGGTCACTAAGAAGGAGATATTTAAAAGCCAGGCACAAGAGCAGGGTTAGAAGCAAAGGAGTTTACTTGAGCCCTCAGTCCAGAGATGGGAACTGCAGGTATCTGTATAGTAACATTTAAAAAGGAGAAAGGGAAGCAGGTAAGGAAAAAGGCTTGTTCGACCTAGTGAAAAGTAGAAGATGAAGGAAGAACAATTGGCAAAAAAAAAAACCCACTGAGGAGGTAGAAAAAGAATCTAGAGAGCAGAAAATCCAAGGCAGTACTTTTTTGGCAATCTGATCAAGTGGAGTCAAAAGTAAAACAGAAGCTGGTAAAATAAAGATCATGAGAAAATGTTAGAGAAATTTCAGTGGAATTAACGGAAGAAAGAGAATTAGTGAGGATCCGGAATGAAGCTGAATAGAAAATAGAGGTAGGAGTTTTAAACAATGCATTCACATTTACATGAGAGGTAAGTCAAGAAATAAAAGACAAATGCCATCTCAACAGTGGCAGAGAGACAACATTCTTAAGTTTTGAAGATAATGAATCTGGAAGAGCAAGAATTGAAAACAGAAGTAAGAGAAGTCAGCAGTGAAATAGGCTGGGCACGTGAATGGGTTGGAAAATAAATATGAGACTGAGGAATAGAAAAGATTGATAAACAAAGAAACTATAATAGTAAAGTTTTTTAATTCTCTTGAGAAATGCTGCTTGTATTTTCCATCTTCAGAATATTTTCAGTTATAGCACTAATATATTACATCAATAGCTCCAGTAAACTGTTGGTTAGTGCCGCACAAAAAGTTTAATAAGCTGACCAGCAGTAGAAAAAACAGTTGAATTTTGGAGCTTCAAAAACAAATTTGTGCAGTATTAGGCAACAGCCAAACCAAAAAATAGTTCTCAGACTCCTGAATTTTAGTTGCTAGAGACTGAGTATCTATTGGGTTTATAACTGCCCAAGAGAGATTGGACTGTGTTTCTACTGTGTTTCTCTAAAAGGTAACATACCACAAAGATGATTAACTGCCTTTTTTCATCTACAAAACTTACCATTCTATTGTAGTGAATATATATCTTCTATTGAACTTGGAACAGAAGCAAGTTGCATTTGTGAGGTAGCTTAGAGAGTGCTGAACAGAAGTCCAAGTTACTGTAGTGAAAGCATATTATCTCCTTTTGAACGTGAGCAGTTGCCGTGTGGAAGCAGTTTACTGTTTGTAGCTGCCGTTACTCTAAATAAACTGTTACGAGCTCACTAGAGCTTGGTGCTGCTCTTGTGTTTCTGTTTGGGATTGCAATCGATCAGGAGTTGAGGCGTGGTGAGGGTATCAGTATGGCACCTTGCTTGATATCTGGACACTTGGAACTTCACGCAGTACACGCTGCGTTGTTCCTCCTTTGCCTGAGATAGCTTGGAGTTACTTGCTGGGCTGAGCTGACTTTCACCGGGCAGGGGGTGTATCATTCTTTCTGCTGAGAAATGGCAGCCATTTAGAGCAATTGTGATGCTCATCTGATTTTCACTGTGGGCTGTTTTGTTTTGCAACCTCTCATCCTAGGCTTGTTTATAATAATATGATGATTTGAAGCGTGTCTGTATCTACAAGTTTCTCATGTTGATAAAACTATCTGTATTCTCAACATTTAAAGATGCCCCAGCCACTGCAGGATTCAGGTTTCTTTGTCTTCCTTGTCCTGAGTTGGCATGTTCTAGCCTTCCTTTTCACTCAGTTCCTGTGTAGTCATTTCTTGGGTAGGTACCAGGACTGTTTCTTCTGCTTCCCTATCTCTCTGTATTTGATGGTGTGCCAGTCCTGGCACATAAACAGTATCCCTTGGTAACAAGTCTTTATTTGTGGTTGCCCACAAAATACTGTAATTTATGAAAACAAATAAGATGTTTTTATACCCTGATGGCATCTGACTCATTCATGGCATCTGACTTGCTGACAGTAAATAAGATAGCCCAAATGATTATATTGCCTCATATAAGTACCAGAGTCACTTGCATCTTCTACTGTCTTCTTAATTTGTGTACTGGGATCTTCCTTTGTCCTGTTTCCGCCCCTTCTTACATTCAGTCACTTATCTGGACCACTTATAGCATTACAAAGGTATGCTGGAATTAACCACAAAAGGCTTTTAGGTTTCTTTTGAATTGTTTGACTTCATTGATGGTTTTCAGCAGTGTTTAATTTTGCTCTACTTTTGCAACAGCGGGCACCACAAGTTTACAAATAACAAGAAGATATTAACATGTACTACAAGCACCTGAAGTCTAGTAAGAGATCTCCTTTTCATAAATCAGAAGTTATGTCTAGAATGTGAAATTATCAATGAGAATCACTCCAGAAGGATGAAATCTGGTTAAATTCAGTAGGCTAATCTAGCTGTAAAGAATGAAGTATTCATACAATGAAAAAACCACGAAGATTACGTTTAAAAAACAGTAGGACACTTGTCTGTTACTGGAAGCAGTCCTAATCTATTTTAGCAAAAGAGGTTTTTATTTCCCCCATCTGTTTTTTTGTGGTAAATTCTTTTCCCCCAGATTTATCATTCCATAGTTTGCCGATACAATGTTATACGTCACCTAAATTTTAGCTTCAGAATTACACAGATGCCTTATAGTATGCCTAACAAGACCCTGCTGGCAATCATCTTAAAAGAAAAAGGAGTCTGTCTGGCAATCGCAACAGCAATAGCAACAATCTTCAGTCAACTAAACCCAAAATTGCCATCTAAAATTCCTGCTCAACAGCTGGAGAATCTTTAACTCACTATGCACTTTCCTTAAGAGGGTCTAGCCTACTAGAAAGACTGAACAGTTAAAAAAGGATTTGGGACAGACTCAGTCATGGTCATGCCCACAAGTTTACAGCAGTTAAGTCAAAGTGGGAATATGTAAATTGTTTTATGCAAATTTTTTTTGATCTTTTGCTCAGCCAGTGGTATACCCAATGTAAGTTATGTGTTTAGCCTCAGTGGATTATTCCAGCAGCTACAGATGTTCACAGTTTGGGGATGTCCTGTCCAAGTCAGATATGTCTCTGTATAGAAAGCTGCCATGAGGTGACCATAGAAATTCACTTTTCTGGGACTGTTTTACCAATACTGGAGTATATAAAACTGTTGTACTGCTGTGGCTGAGAGAGAGAGAAAACTGTGGTTTCTAATGGATTTCACTTCTTACATTGCAATTCAATAT